GACACCATGGCTTGGATCAGGCGCACCTTAGTCCTTAAAGTGACATCTTTGCTTTTTAACACTTTAAAGAGGTCTTTTGCAGCAGATTTGCCCAGTGCAATGTGTTCTTTCATTTCTTGACTGCTGCTTCCATGGCTGTTGATTGTGGGTCCAAGTAAAATGAAATCTTCGACAACTTGATTCTTTTTGCTGCTTATTGGTCCAGTTGTGAGGATTTTTGTTTTCTTTATGTTGAAGTATAATCCATACTGAAGGCTGTAGTCTTTGATATTCATCAATAAGTACTTCAAGTCCTCCTCACTTTCAGCAAGCAAGGTGTGTCATCTGCATGTCGCATATCAGACCCTTAATCACGTGTTAAATCCTGTCTTGATACTGTTTGTATAGGAAAATCAGAGTGGACTTGAATTATTTTGGTTATGTCTCTTTGTTGTTGTTGTTAGGTGCCATTGAGTAGATTCTGCTCTGTCACATGAAGTCCATATGAGCTGGAATCCGAATTGACAGCAATGGGTTTAATTTTTGGATAAGGTAGAGAAGTGTGCGTATTTGGAGAATGCACACATATGCTTGCTCTTGTGCGTCGGGCTGGCCGTGCTGAGTATTTGGTGTGGATAGATCTTACTCCGGGGGAGTATTTGTTGTGGGACAGATCTTATTCTTGGAAGAAAAACCTGGTGATCTACTTCTGAAAACTCAGCCATTGAAAACGCTATGGAGCACAGTTCTGTTCTGACACACATGGCGTCACCATGATTGGAGTGAACTCTACAGCAACTTTTTAAAAAATAGTTTGAAAAATCAGACTTGCTTGTATACCTTATTCATCCAGCAGATGCTTATTGGTCAGTTGTTTTTTCTAGATGCTGGGCTCAGAGGTGAGCAAGATATGCCTCTGTCCTTGAGGTGCTCTCAGGCTAGTTGGGAAGAAAGGCATAAATGGACATTCCTGCACAAAAGCCAATGCAGAGTACGAAAGGAAGGCAGCAGGAACATAAAAGGAGGAGGGACTAGCTCTCTTGGAAATAAGGGTGGGACCTAGTATCAGAAGGCTCTAAGGGGAGGGGAATTTGAGGCCCTATCTTGAAGGATGCATAGGAGGCAGCCTTGTGGACAATGAGGAAGAGCATTCCAGGTTGATGGAAAAGAGCAGTGGATTTTGAGTATGTAGCTGGTAGTGGAAGGAGCCCTGGTGGCGCAGTGGTTAAAGTACTCGGCTGCTAACCGAAAGGTTGCCAGTTTGAATCCACCAGCCGCTCCTCGGGAGAAAGATGTGCCCGTCTGCTTCTGTAAAGATTTAAAGCCTTGGAAACCCTATGGGCAGTTCTACTCTGTCCTTCAGGGTCACTGTGAGTCGGAATTGATTCGATGGGATTTGACGGCAGTGGGTTTGGTTGTCTTTTTAAACTGGTAGTTGAGGGTCCTTGGGGTGTCAGGAATGATGGGTAGGGAGGCTGTGGGTGTAGGTTGGGGTCAGATTTTGAAAGCCCCTTTGAAGCAGGTTGAAGGGTTTGATCTTTCCCTTGTAGGGAGTCACTACAGGATTTTAAGTGGGTTAATGACTAGCTCAGATCTGTTTTTCAGACAGATAAGTTGGTTGACAATATGAAAGATAAATTAGCAGAGAGCAGAGTTAGAGGCAAGAGGCCAGGTGAGAGTTGTGAAAATAATTAATTATGGGGCTTGGACCAGAATGATGCAGGCGGAGGTGGAGTAAAGGATTTGAAGGATGGTAGGCAGTTAGTATCAATGTATTTAAAGCTTCAGTGTAAGATTCCCTTTTATGGAATTTGTTTTGTTTCTCAGTCAGGGGTATAGTTTTTCAAATCTTGATGCAGTTGAAGTTTTCAGCATTTTCAGTTATTAGCTTTCCCTCCAGAATTAATTTCTCAACTTGATTAATTTCTTACCATTTTAAAGTTAGTTCCATTCCTCAGTGGACTACTGCTGTTTTTCTCATATTGCTTCTTGGATAATTTATTTAGGCAACTTTGAAATAAATTACATTTCAATAACATTTGAATTTTTTTCTCTATGTTGTTAGTTGCCATTGAGTTGATTTCAACTCCTGGCAATGTCACGTGTGCAGAATAGAACTACTCCATAGGGTTTTCAAGGCTATGACCTTTCAGAAGCAGATTGCCAGGCCTCTCTTCCGAGGAGCCTCTGGGTGGCTACTGCCAACCTTTTGGCTAGTAGTCAAGTGCTTAACCATTTGTACCACTCAGGGACTCCTTTTTCTATCTATGTATCCTTAAAGAAAAGTCATGCTTTAGGAAAATGTAGATTAATGAAAATTAGAAAGTTTATTCATATTTATTTAGTAAAATATAAAGATTCTTTGAAAAGGTAATATTAATCTCAGCTAAAACATGAAGATAATCATCTTGGACAGCTAAAGGAAAATCTGTATGTGAAGAGAGCCTGGAACACTATTTCAGAGGAACTTTAATTGAAGAGTAGAATGTTTAATGTGATGCTGTGAAAATAATGTCATCCTATATTACTAATTTCAGCTTCAACAGATAGGATAGAGTAAATGTAGATTAAAAATAAATTAAGAGCAGATGTTGAGAAATACCTTTCATTCAGGGAATAATTAAGTGGTGGAAAGGTCACTGGAGTTCAGTCAACCAAGCTTGGATGCTCAGAAATCACAATTATTCAGGTAACAGATGCTTCTCTAATGGGATGTTTCTCTGTGGTGCTCATCTGTGGAGGCTTTGGGAATAGGAGAAGGAAGAGGCTGTTGTTGTCATACTGTTTTTCTCGTAAGTTCCATCCTTCATATCCTTATATTCAGTAGGCTTACTTTGAATTCTGAGTATATAGCTGGGATTTCACATATGGTAGCTCTCTTAACCTTTAAGATAAAACAAAAGATCTTATTTAAAAACTCTTGCAGGCATTGTTGGGTTGTGTATTGTTGCCACCTAGGTGGTTGATTTGCCCAGTTTAGGAACCTCGACTATAAATCTAGCTTTCTTTAAAACTCAGCTCTAGCTTATGATATGAGGACCATTAGGGAGAGACTTATTTGTCTGTCTGTATCTATGTCTGTCTATCTATCTCTCCCATCTATCTATCTGTCTTGTAAAAGACATTTTGAATAGCATTTTGTTACTTTGCTCTTACTGTACGTCAGGCACTCAGACTGGCACAGGGTAAATAAGACACAGTTCCAGGTGTCAAGTACCTTTTCATCTAGAGAGGGGAAGAGATTAAACAAGCAAATACACAGGTTTTAAAGCAAAATATCATGCTCGTGAGGTTGTGGGAGGAGTACCTGTTGTTCAGGGGGCTCTGGAAAGGCATTTGGATGAATGGACATCCAAGCTGAGATCTGAAGAATGAGTACAAGTTAGAGAGTGGGAGAGTAGGGGTGGGGTGGGGAGAGCTGTTGGGATGGAGGGAATTACTGGCATACCAGAGGTATGGAGGTGAAAACTGAGAGTCACTCAGTATGGCTGAAGGGAGTGTAAGAAGTAAAGATTAAGGCTGGAATGTTTAGCTGAGACCAGTTAATGATGAGTCTAGTAAGCCACTGTAAGGAGTTTGGATCTCATCCTAGGATAATGGTGAGCCTCTGAAAGGGTTTAAGCAGAGGGCTGATCTGGTCAGATTTGCTCTTTAGAGTAGCACTCCTGCTACAGCGTGCAGCATGGATGAAGGATGGAGTGGGTGGATGGGGCAATCCTAGAGGCCTGGAGGATGCTGTGACCCTGTTATGGTCAAAAGGTAAGAGATAATGTGGACCTGAATTAAGGCTATGGTACTTGGGAGGGAGGGGAGGAGAGGGTTTGAAGGCTTTAGGTAGGTGATAGACCTGACAGGAAATGGTGGTGGTCCTATGGGCGATGGATGTTATCGAGAGGGGAGAATCCTGGATTATGGCTTCAACACCTGACAGACAAGACATTCCTATTAAAGTTTTAGAGGGTAGGAGGTTGGTAAGAGGCTAATGAGTGAAGTTCTAGATTGAATTTGAGGGTTCCTTATATGTATATGTATAAAACCAAAATCTGTTGCCACTGAGTTAGTTCTCATGGTGATTCCATGTGTTTCAGAGTAGCACTTGCCTCCACAGGGTTTTCAATGGCTTGATTTTTTGGACGTAGGTTGCCAGGCCTTTCATTTGTGGTACCACTGGGTGAATTTGAACCGCAAAGTTTTCAGTTAGTAGTTGAGTGCAAACTGTTTGTGCTACTCAGGGACCTGTATCTATGTCTGTTTATATTTACACACACATGCGCGTGCACGCACACACACACACACACACACACACACACACACAAAGTTGAGAGCTCAGAAGAGTGGCTTGGTCTGGGGCCACATCCTGGAAAATGGAACGCTAGAGTCTTGACTACTGTCTTCTGTTATGTGTGGAACTCTTTGAAAGATATACTTAACTTTTCATCAAGAGCTGTGTTGCATATTTTATTTCTCATCATATTTTCTGAGATTTTGACCCAAGAATGAGCCTTTGAGGAAGGGAGAATTTGAAAGACAGTAGATTATAGCCATGGAAGATGAGGAATTAAGAAGTGAGTGTTGATTTTTAATGCTGTTAGCAGATGTTCGTACTTAACCCTTGGGAGTTGACTGTATTTATCTCCCCCAGTCTTAGGTAGTGGACTTGTAGTTGTTGCTCTGGCTAATCTTTTTGGCTTGGGAGAGGGGAGAGGTTCGCAAGAAACCCTTGCAGTATATACAACATTTTGTACATATGTGCACCTGGACGTTTTCTGGGAAAAATTTTCCACACTTTTTATTACACTCTCAAAGGAATCCTGTGACCTTCCCAAAGGTTAAGAATTAAGAGGGGAATAGTGACATATTATGGTTGTGTTTCCTGTGGTGTTGCTGCTTTTTCTGATGGAAATTATCTTGGCAGTCCAGTACTCTGGCTTGAGTTTAGGGTCCTGCGCTATTGCTGCAACTCAAATTCTGGTTCTTATTTTGCTTCTGCTGTCTCAGAGGAAAGCCCTGATTGCTTGAATTAGCAAGTTCAAGTACGTAGATACGAAGTTTGAAGGGCAACTTTTCTTGTGAGAATGTTTGACCCAGTTTTGCATATAATGAATTTTTATTTGTTGATGAATCTTTCCCTTTTGTTGCTAAAAGTAGCAAATAATCAGACATAAATTACTAATTAACAGTCTGGTTCAGACTTTTTTTTTTTTTTTTTTTAAATTAATGGAACTTAGGCTTCATCAAGCTCAGGTGGAGTGGGTATTCCTGTTTTATTTCTTCTAACATCAAAGCTAATTCCTTTTTCAAAGATGTTGATATATTTGTCACTTAAAAACAGGGCAGTCAGACTCTCCCCTTCTCATAAAGTATAAGTAGTGATTCCCACCTGAGAACACTGCTCCCCTGCCGTCCTCCCCTGGGATTCTTTTTCTCCCTGCCTTCTCATACTATTGGAGAGGTGAGGTAGTGACACTCTTGTTCCTCGTTTCATCCAGACCAGATATCTCTCCTAATCGAATTGTATCACCAACTAAACCTCTAAACCCCATTGTTGAGAAGTCACTCCCTGCCTGCATCCCTCCCTCTTATTTTTTGGTGATGTTAACTTCTGGTTCACCATCATGCTTTCTAAAAGTTACTCTTGTTTCAGTGATTTCAGTGTGAACATAGATGATCCTTCCAATTCCCTGCCCTCCCAATTTCTTGGGCTTCTCTTTTCCAGTGATCTTGTCTTCTACCCTGGTGGTGATAGCCTGGCCTTGACCATGTCATCATTAATGACTGCAGCCCTTCTGTAATCTCGACTTTGAGTGTTGCACTTTCTGCCCCCATGCCTTTTATATTTCTAGCTCACTCCCTCTTATAACTCCAGCATTCTCTGACTCTGTCGTGGTCTATGGTCCATTAATCCTACCATCATGACACTGTCACCCACCCCCTCATGTCCTCTCTTCGGTCTTAAATTCCACAGCCAATCAGAGTCACTCCTTTGTGCGTACCTTCAATTCTCTTGCCTTCCTTGTTTCATCACAGCTGTGTCAAACTCCACGCCTGGTTAAATCTCACTCTCCACCTACAATGTGCCTGTCTTCCTACAGGGGAACTGGCTGGAGAAAAACACACAGCCCTAATCCTTGTCTCAGCATAATTCATGGTCACAAGTGAGAGCTTAATGCTACTTGGCAATCACTCTCCCATTGTCCTAGATGATTATTTTATACTGCCTCCTCCCTCCTGAAACATTCAAACCTTCCTCCCCATCCTGACTCTCAGCTTATGACCTTGCCTGTGATTGTTCTAAATGATTGTTCTAAGAAAATTGAAGTAAACCAAAGAGAAATCCGACAGCTCCAACACTCCATCTATCCCCAGCCAGCCCTGTCCAAGGCCGAAACCACGTACATGGTATCCTATCTTCTCTTGCTTACTCAAGGACACCTCCCCTCTCTCTCCTGCATTTTTTTAAGTTCCCTCTGTGGTGGATCATTTCTATCAGATACAAACATGCTATTTTTCCTATTCTAAAAAAACTTCTACTCTTGATCCCACCCCTCTTGCCAGCTACCATCCCATTTCTCTATTCCACTTCTGGAAGATTTCCTCAAAAGAGTGTTATAACTGAGATTGCAATTCCCCTCCTTTCATTTGCTCTCAAAACCACTTGAGTCATGTGTAGTCTTTAGCATTCCACTAAAACTGCTCTATCAGAATTATTAGAGGCTTCCATGATGCAAATCCAGTGGCCAGTTCTCAGCTCTCCTCTTACTTGTTCCCTCAGTAGCATCAGCACAGTTGATCACTTCCTCCTCCGTGAAACACTTTCCTCACTGGGCTTCTAGGACACCCACCCTCTCCTGGTTTCCCTCTCATTCTCCTTTGTGGGTTTCTCCCCTTAACCTTGGAGGGCCCAGTCCTTAGACCTTGTCTGTCACCACTCACTCCCGTTGTCATCTCACCAGTATCCTGGCTTTAAATACCATCTGAATGCTGTCTCAAATTCCCATCTCTGGCACAGGCCTCTCCCCCTGAACTGCCTACTTGAATTTCCAGCTGCCCACTTGAAATCCCTACTTGGAAGTTCAATCTGAATTCCTGATCTTCCCCCTTCCCAAGATGCTCCACCCACAGTCTTGCCTATCTGCATTAAAGGCAGTTCCGTTCTTCCAGGTGCTCAAACCTTGGAGTCATGCTTGAATCCTCTTTTTGTCTCATGCTTACATCCAATACATCAGCAACTCTATTTTCAGAATACTGTTTATACAGAATATGACCATATTTTACCATCTCCACTGCTACTACCGTGGTCTGGGCCACCACTATTCTTGCTGAATTTCTGTAAGAGCCTCCTCATTATTCTGCGCTAGTCCCTGCTTCCACCCTTGTCCCACTAAGGTTGGTTTCAACCTTGCAGTGAAGTGATCCTTTCTAAAACATCAATAGATCATGTCACTCGTCATGGATTGAATGATGTTCCCTAAAATATCCGTCAACTTGGCTAGGTCATGATTCCCAGTATTGTATGATTGTCCACCATTTGTCATCTGATGTGATTTCCCTGTGTGTTGTAAATCCTATCACTATGATGTCAATGAGATGGATTAGCAGCAGTTATGTTGAGATCTGCAAGATTAGATTGTGTCTTAAGCCAGTCTGTTTTGAGATATAAGAGAGAGAAGCTAGCCGAGAGATATGGGGAACCTCATACCACCAAGAAAGCAGCACCAGGAGCAGAGTGCGTCCTTTGGACCAGGAGTTCCTGTGTGGAGAAGCTCCTAGGCCAGGGGAAGATTGACGAGAAGCACTCCCTCCAGAGCTGACAGAGAGAGAAAGCCTTTTCCTGGAGCTGACGCCCTGAAGTTGGACTTGTAGCCTACTAGACTGTGAGAGAATACATTTCTCTTTGTTAAAGCCATCCACCCGTGGTATTTCTGTTATAGCAGCTCTAGATAACTAAGACATCACTCTAAGTTCACAACTCTACAGTGACTCTCATTTTACTTATAATAGAAGCTCAAGACTGTACAGTGACCTACAAGACCTTGAAAGATCCTGCCCGGCTTCATCTTCCCTCACTCATTTGTGCTGATTGTACACAGCAGTCTCCCTCCCAGCTCAGGCGGTTCCCCCTGCCTGGAACACTCTTCGCTTAAATATCCATATGGCTAACTCCCTCCCATCCTTCAGATCTTTGTTGAAATACCACCTTCTCAATGACTTGCTCATTTTAGTAAAATGGCAAACCCTCCCTTCTCTAGCACCCTCTACTGCTTTTACTGGCCTTATTTTTCTGAGTGCTTATTGCCCTCTATAATTTACTTGATTGTTGTGCTTATTGTCTGTCTCTTTCCGCTAGAATGTAAACTCCATGAGGGCAGGCATTTTGTTTGGTTTAAATCTCTAGTATCTAGAACAGTACCTAACACATAGTATGTACTCAATAAATATATGTTGAATGAATAAAGAAATTGCATTTTTTGCTCCTTCCAACAATTGGTGTATACCTAAGACAAATGCCAGTTTAATCTTTATTGTACGGATTGACTGATTAGCTCCAGTCAGTCTTTGACTGTTTCTCCCGTGCTGGTTGGCAGATCACTTGATGTTTCCAACCACTGCCATTGAGTTGATTCTGACTCATGGCAACCCTATGGGTTATAGAGAACTACTCCATAGGGTTTTCCTGGTTGTAATCTTTATGGAAGCAGGCCTTTCTTTGTGGCTTTGCTGGGTGGGTTCAAACTGCCAACCTTTTGGTTAGGAGTCCAGTGTGGACCAGTCAGACTTCAAATGGGAAGACTAAGGCCATTGCCATGTGTCAGCGAAAGGCTGCCAACTCCCTTTCCTTTCACACAGGGTTTTGAACCAGTTCATTTTGGTTCAAACCCCTCCTGAGAATTTGCATTTCCACACCAAATATATTGAATCAGAATCTACATTTTAACAAGCTCCCCAGGTGATTCTTTTGTATAATAAATTTTGAGAAACATTGCTCTACTAGTGGTTCTCAGAACTGGTCCCTAACCAGCTGCATTAGCATTCCTGGGAACTTGTTAGAAATACAGATTCTCAGCAGGAAAGCAACCAGTTGGAAGTGCTGCTTTCCCAAGATGTCCTTTATTCTTAGGTTATGTTAATCTCTCTCTCTCTCTTTTTTTGGCACGAAAATGCTCATTTAATGAAATGATGGTGATAGTTTTTCAATACCGGGGTGGGAAGCTTTCTTCAGATTAAGTACTCCAAAAGGGCCCCTATATATAGGGTGCTTGAAAGTAAGGATACCAGTACTTTGGTATGTGATTTTGATTGTTTTTTTTTTTTCCTTGTTGCCTGGGAAGTCTATTTGAAAACAAGTCTTAGAAGGAAGCTCATCTTAGGAATGTGATAATACACAGTTGCTCTCTTTAAAGCACGGCTGATAGGAGGGTTGTGGCTTTCTATACATCAGGGCTAGGAGAGGGGTGTGTGAGTGATAGATAGTCTACCCCAAGCTCCTGAGGGTCCTTCTTGGTTTTGGGGACACAACTTAAAACCAGTGCTTTAGATGCTAAATTCTAGAAAAACTGGGTGCTCTATTAAAAAGAAAGCATTTACTTGGTGTCACAGAGGAGATAGATTGTGCTTTTGGGTCTGCAAATAACCAGCTTTGTGACCTTGAATAACCAAAGAACAAAACAAAACAAAAACCAAACCCATTGCCATCAAGTCGATTCTGACTCATAGTGACCTTATAGGACAGAGTAGAACTGCCCCATAGGGTTTCCAAGGCTGCACATCTTTACGGAAACAGACTGACACATCTTTCTCCCATGGAGTGGCTGGTGGGTTCGAACTGTCAACCGTTATGGTTAGTAGCCAAACCCTCTAACCAGTGTGCCACCAGGGCTCCTTGTGACCTTGAATAAGTTACTCAATCTCTCCTTGCAATTAATTGATTTGTTTGTAAGGTAAGGAGTGTAGGCTAATGACCTCACACTGATAGGTTTATAAGCTTAGGAGAGACAAATTGTTAATGCTTAATTGTAAAAGCTGTGCTAGCTAAAGGTTGTGTTCTATTACCTTCTTCCTCATTATTGTAATTTCAGTTTAGTCTGTCCTGATCTTGTGACCTTTCCAGATATTTTATACTCTTGGATTCTTAAAAGCAATATTGCTATTGAGATTATAGAAAGGATTATATGATAGCATTTGGGATAAGCATTTTATCTATAAATTGGGTAAGGTATCCAGTATAGTATGATACTATTTTATGAAATATTTGAAAAGAATAAGAAAAATCCTACAAGATCTAAAATTTTTATTAGCACTCTCTTGTATAGACGTTATACAGAGTGGTTCAGGGTGTACAGATGGTTTTGTATCTAAACTTTACCACCTCTGCTGGCTGTGTGAACTTAAGCAAATTGCTTAGCCGCTCTTTGCCTCAGATTCCTTATCAATAAAGTGGGCATAGTAATCGCACCTAATTCCTCACATTGTTGTAAAGATTAAATGAATTAGTACATATGAAGCACGTGTTGGTTGCCATCACGTCGATTCCAACTCGTTGTTATTGTTGTTATTAAGTGCCGTCGAGTTGGTTCCAACTCGTAGTGACCCTCTGTACAGCAGAATGAAACACTGCCCGGTCCTGTGCCATCCTCACAGTCGTTGCTGTGTCTGAGTCTGTTGTTGTAGTGACTGTGTCAGTCCATATCGTTGAGCATCTTCCTCTTGTTCGCTGACCCTCTGCTTTACCAAACATGATGTTAATTACTATTGTACAAATACTTATTGTTAATGTGATTATATATTTCATTCCAGTATTTTTAAATAAGCATATAAAATAGTTCTAATCATATTGTGCAAGCAATATTTGTGCTTTTATTTCTTAAATATGGTCAGAATTTTGCTTTTTTAATTTTAATGAGAAGACATTCTAGAGTAGACTGGACATTTCCAGGTCATTTTATAGGCCTTGGAATGTGACGGTTAATTCTCATGTGGAACACTTTTTTTTTTTTTTGGTTCTTGTATGTTTTACTATATATTTGATATCTTTTTCCAGTAGGATTTTTGAAAAAATAACTCTGTGTCCATATAAAATCCTTCCTCCCCTTCTCCATTGTTTTTTTTTCTTTTCCCTTTTTGCTAAGGCTTGGGTGCTATATTCTTTTGGCTGGGATCAAAATAGTTCACACAGATATCAATGCCTTAGGTATACCCTCCAAAAATGTAATTTATGACTAGTTTATTAAGATAACTTGAAAATGTATTGTTGCCATCATGTCAACTCTCACTCATGGTGACCCTGTGTGTGCAGAGTAGAACTACTCCATAGGGTTTTCAAGGCTGTGACCTTTGGGAAGCAGACCTCTAGGCCTGTCTTCCAAGGTGCTTCTCGGTGGGTTTGAACCGCCAGCTTTTCAGGAAGTAGTTGAGCGCTTAACCATTTCTGCTACCCAGGGACTCCAGAAAACCTCAAAATTCAGAGGCTCAAATAAGATCACAGTTTATTTCTCTCACCTTACAGTTCAGAGTTGGTGGTGTAGGGTGGGTAAGCACATGTCCTCTTGACCTCTGCTCCGTGAAGTCTCCCAGGGATCCTAGTTCCTTCTTCCTTATTCTTCTTCTATTCTGCAGTTATTTCATCTTCTTGATTGAACTGGCCCCAACACTATGTCCAAGTTCTAGTCCAAGGAAAGGGGAAAGAGGAGAAGTAAAAAACAAATCATTTCCTTTTTAAAGACTGTAACCCAGAGGTTGCATACATGATTTATTTTCACATCTCATTGGTTACAGCCTAGTCACATGGCCACAGCTAGCTGCAAGGGAGGTTGAGAAATGTGGTTTGTGGTGAGGAGGCCAGGTGCTTAGCTAAAACTGTGGGGGAGGGGCTGGATTTCTGATCCTAAAAAGAAGGAGAGAATGGATAATAACATATGTACTTTTATAACAACTTTACAGGCCAGATTTGAATAGAATTTTCCAACTCCTCGGAGTTCTGTGCCAGAACGTAGTGGTAAGGGGACAACTGGCCCCTGGTGCCCAGCCTAGGGAATTTCTCTTTTGCTTTCACATGCTGCTCCATTCTGCACTGAGAAGGGCTTTGTGTACAGTGTGTGGTCACCTGGCCAGACCTCCATGGCCTCCCTCCCTGCTCCACCTTGCACACAGCGGTGTGGTCCCTCCCTTGGGAAGAGAGTGCAGGTCTAAATCGAGCAGGAAACGCTGGGTCCTGGGTACCTAGATCAGGCTTAAGAAGGGAGTTCATGGGCTCTGGCTGCACATGTCCTCTTGGTCTTGTGATCTCCCCAGCCTGTGGAGAAGGGCGGGATTGGACTTTCTAAAATGCAGGGTCCAAGGTGGGGCCCCATCTTGCCTAGGTCTAAGGGTGATACTGTAAAGAGAAACCTTACATTGATTTTACATTGATTCAGTTGTTAAAATTTTCCACTTTTCTCCTGCTTCTGCTTCATCAATAGTCACATTTATCATTTATAACCTACATATTTTATATTTAATCCACTAAGAGTAGAATACCTTTTGAAATGAAATGGAGTATCATTTTAATGGGTGGTAAGGGTGGGGAAGGGCGGAGTGAGGGAGGCTGAAGACTATTCTCTTGTTTAGCTTCATGTTTTCAATAGCTTCAAAAAAATACCATTTCAGTGGCCCTTGTGATTGGGTGGCAGCTTGCCCAGACTAGAGGGAGCCAGTGTTGGGAATGAAAACTAGATTCACTTTGAAAATACAGAAGAAAAAGTGACTGCACAAGACATAGGAATGTGCTTGATCACTGGGTGCTCTGGCGGAGAGTGAGTGAAGCAACGCCGCGGGTTTGGTTTCTGCATTCCCCATCTGCTGAGCCTTTCAGCACTTCCCCTGGCCTGGCTGGCCTGGACCCAGAGCTCTGCTTCTAACTGATCCCAGGACTGAGCCACCTCTGTGCTCACAGATCACGACAACATGCTGATGAGAAGTGCATGTGAAATCTAGCACATGTAGCTGCTACTGGGTTGACCCAGCAAACCATCATCCATTCAGTTTAGGGATGGGTTACGATACAAGCTCTCAATCCCTTATCCGAAACCCTTGGAGCCAGATGCGGTTCAGAATTAATAATTTTTTAGGTTTTACAAAGATTGTGGTATGAATATTTTCAGTAACCTCATATGCCTGTGAAAATTGGACAATGAACAAGAAAAACTGAAGAAGAATTGATGCCTTCAAATTATAGTGTTGGCAAAGAGTATTCAGTATACCATGGACTGCCAGAAGAAGGAACAAATCTGTCTTGGAAGAAGTACAGTCAGAATGCTCCTTAGAAGCAAGAATAGCGAGAGTTGGTCTCACATATTTTGGACATGTTATCCGGAGGGACCAGTCCCTGGAGAAGGACATCATGCTTGGTGAAGTAGAGGGTCAGCAAAAGGAGGAGGACCCTCAATGAGATGGGTTGACACAGTGGCTGCAACAGTGGGCTTAAACATAGCAATGATCATGAGGATGGCACAGGACTGGGCAGTGTTTTGTTCCGTTGTACTTGGGGTTGCTGTGAGTTGGAACCGACTTTATATCAGCTAACAATAACAACAACAATGAGGTCTCTAGGTGGCACAAATGGTTTGTGTTTGACTTCTAACCCAAAAGTTGGCTGTTTGAACCCTCCCAGTGGTGCTGTGGAAGAAAGCCCTGATGATCTTCCATAAAAGGATTGCAGCCAAGAAAACCCTATGGAGTAGTTCGACTCTATAACATATGGGGTCCATGAGTTGGAATTGACGACATTTTTTTTATGGTATGAATACCGTATATTGCATAATATCTTCATTGGAACTCAAGACAGCGCCCTGTAATTCCAAAACCAACAAATCTCAAGCCCGTTGCTGTCGAGTTGATTCCGACTCATAGCGACACTATACGACAGAGTAGAACTGCCCCATTGGGTTTCCAAGGGTGGATTCTTACTGCCAGCCTTTTGGTTAGCAGCTGAGCTCTTAACCACTGCACCACCAGGGCTTCTATCCTGTAATTAAATATATTAATATTTCTGCGGTTAAAATGTATGACTATTTACACTAAGTGGGGCAAAAACAAAATTATAAATAGCCTCAGGGCAGTTCAGGTCATGTTTTGTTGCCAAACGGGTAATGAAAATACCTTTGGTTTTCAGAGCTTTTCAGATCCTAGGGTTGTGGATCAAAGATTGTGGGCCCGTGATGGCGAACCCTTTGCCAGCATTTACACTGTGCTGGACACTTCACATGTATTGCATCTTGTAGTGCTCACAACAGTCCTAAGAGGAAGATATTTCTTTTTTTTTTTTTTTTACAGGTAAGGAAACTAAGGTTTAGAGGTTCAGTAACTTGCCCAAGATCAAGAGGTGGCGCTCACGTGCCAACAGAGACCAAATCCCAAGGCCTACTCACTTGTGCTATAAAAATGTTGTAATATTTGCTTCTTTGAAACTTTGAAACATACGTTGGCTTTACAGATTCCTATTTCACATTTAATGGTAGCTGAAAGACAGTGTGGTACTAAAAGTGCCTTTGGATATAATCACCCCTCGTAACGTTTCTTAAGGAGGAAAATGCCTCTTCAGTTCAACCAGCAGGGTTAGGAAGCAGAGTTCTTGTTCTTGCCCATATCTGTAGATTGTCCTCCTCTGGCAGCTTCATAGCCACTTCTTCCAGTCTGGCAGGGGCAGCAGGTCAGGGCACTGTTACAGGACTGGATGGGAAGGTGGGCAGGACTTGGGTGAAAAGTAGGGAAGAGAGGGGAAGGTTAGGGTGTTTGGTGTGGATAGAAGAGGTAAACAAACAAACAAAAAAAAACCCAAACCCGTTGCTGTCGAGTTGATGCCAACTCATGGGGGAACTGCCTCTTGGCTGAGGTCTGGACGCTAGCTGGGTAGGGCCCACTTCCACGCTCTTGTTTCTGTTCTCATAGCAGTCACCAAGGGGTCCCTGGAAGAAGGGAATATCAGGGAAGTGGCAAGTGTGGTGTGTATTAGCCAGGGCCGTTGCTTGGTGATATTTTGCCTTTGTATTAGGCCACAAGGCCCTCTGGGTGAATAAGTGGACAAAGGCACCTTCTCTGGAGAGACACAGTCCACTGGACACATCACTTAGTGGACTGTGCCTTTGTGCAAAAAATAATGCCCGTTCCTTGGAGCCAGTGCACCCCATTTGCCACCCTGGCCTGGTGCCTTTGTGCATTGGACAGACTTCATAACTGCATGTGGCAGCTCGGCATTAGTAGGGATCTGCCAGAAAAGCACATTGTGTATATTAGAATCCTGGGAATCTTTTTGTTACTACTATTGACAGGTGAGGGCGCCGTGGCTTGGTGAGCTGCCCAAGGTCATCTCAAGAGTTGGTGGCTCATGGCACCATTGCTACCCTGGTCAGATTTATCCCCTAGGCATTGTTCTCCGAAATGGAAGAAGACAGCTCAGGGATTTCAGGATATCTTCCCCCCAAATGTTTAGTTCTTGCTACCTTCTCACCCTTCATTATTGTATTAAAAACTGGATGGATTAGTCTTGGCTCTTAATTGTACATATGTGGCGATTGGTGGTTCTTACTGACACGCTAGCTCTCCTTCATGTAGTCTGTGTCACTGTGGGCTTGGTGGCGGTGCCGTTCAAGTTGGGAAATGCAGTTCGTGTTAAAAGAAGACATCGGAAATTAGAAGGCCTGGGTAGACGGATTAGTGTACCAGTCCCTTTGTTAGCAATATTGTCATTGCATTACCTTCGTTTAAAATTAAACTCCTTCTGTTAAACTTTTACTTATGTAATGTGTAGGTCCAGGAGTCTTAGCCAAAGTCAGTGTTTTTTTACAGGAAGTATCTTGATATACATTAACCTTTTAAAATTGCAACCAGTTAGTTACACCATAAAAGCTAGCAATGTGTGAATTAATGGATTGCTTGTTCAACGCAGAGCACATGAGGAAAATTAATTTTAAATTGAGAAAGTATTTTCTAAAAGAGTGGAGGGAGGTAGGGAGCTAACTGTATGGGCTGGGCCTTTTCAACTACATTATTTAATTTACTCACCGTAATAATTCTATGAAGAAGATATAATTGTGTCTGTTTTATAGATGCGGATACTCCTGAGTTATTAGTCAGGTCTTCTAGTAAGTGTTTCGGTTATATTTTAAAGAGTTATATCCTATTTTATTCCACGTTCTTACAGAGTCAGATAAGAAATGGAATTCTTAAAAAAATCAACAAAAATGCAGAGAGGGGAAAGATGAGTTTATTAATCAGATTAAGAAGAGTTAGTACACAAAAATTGTGCTTGCTTTATATAAATTACTCTATCCTGTTGTTGGAGTCACTGGGTAGTGTAAACGGGTAGCGTGCTCAGTTGTTAACAGAAAGGTTGGAGGTTTGAGTCCACCTGGGACACCTCAGAAGAAAGCCCTGGCAATCTGTTTCCAAAAAATCAGCCATTGAAAGCCCTGTGGAGTGCAGTTCTATTCTGGCACACATGTGGTCTCCATGAGTTGGAAATGACTTGCTGGTAACAAGTTTTTTTTTAAATCTGTTGTTAGACTTTGGATGTATATTTATCTCAGTGTCATATTAGGCAAAGGAGAATAATTAGTTATAAGATTGACATTGTCCATTAGTTTTCAAAAAGACACTTGCTAATGTGAAACACAGTTTTGGTTTTTTTCCTGGCCTGGAGGCCCCAAAAACCTTTCCCTGAGAATCTCATAAACGTGACAGTGGAATGTTATGAAGGACCCTCTCTCTCTAGCTGTGAGGTGATAACTAGATTAACAGAACTCTCACTGGTGAAGCCCTTACTGTAGACCAGGTGAAATACACAAAGTTGTTTTAAACATAGAGATAGGAGGAAGTTCCCTGGTGATTTGCCCTAATTCAGGAGTGAATTTAAACTACTTATTGTAGTATTTTGGGAGATTATCAAATTGTTGTAATATGAGATAGTACCTACCTTTACTTTTCTTTTCATAAATTTATTTTTTTAAGGTGGTCCTCAGCTTTCCTGTCAAGGAACCCTTCGATATTTGATCATATTTCAGTGTACTTTTTTTCCACAGTTGTATAGCGACAATTGTGAGGAGGGTGCAGGACCGACCGGGCATTGTTCCGTTCTCTTGTACATGGGGTCACTGTGAGTCGGAATCGACTCAGCAGCACCTAACAACAACAGCATAAATATTTCTACTTCCATCATACCTCACAGTCAGTAATTCTTGACATAAGCATTCCTTCTAGACTTTGTTCTTTGCTCCTTTCGCTTCCTGGAAATAGCTTCCAGATGGAATAATTTTCTTTCAAACCCCAAGTTCTTATGTTTTACTATTTATTGACCTATTGTCGCTTTTCTGAGTTTCGTTTTTGGCTGAGGTACTCTGCTTTTAGGATTTTTTTAAAAAAAATATGCTCTGTAATATATACTGAAAACACTTGGCAACTGTTATGAGGCTGCACAGAAATACTGTTAACGATGAAGTGCTCTGGTTTCTCTATCCCTCCCAA